TGCCTCAGCCTTCCAGAGTGCTAGGATTACAGGTGTGAGCCACTGCACCCAGCTCACCCAGCATTTTTACTTTTGGAGTTTATAATATACTGTGTGCATGTGGAATTTAACCTATAGATATACTTGCATATGTGCAAAATGGTATACAAAATTAACCATGGAAGCATTGTTTTTTACAGCAGAAAATTAAAATAGCCTATATGTCCATCCATAGACAAACTGTCAAATTAATTACTGTATATCCAGATAATGAAATCCTACATGGAATGAGGAAGGTCTGTCTGTGCTGGTATGGAAAGATCTCCAAGACACATAATTTTTATTTTTAAGGTCAGAGTAGTGTGTAGCATACTACAATGTGTGTTTTTGAAAAAATAAAGGCGGGAAGAGAATTGCTTGAATATAAAAAAAAATCCTCTGGAATCCTATATTAGTTATTCTTTTCCACTAATGTCTAAACTGACCTAAAAATAAAAAACTTTTGTTCCTCCCTCTCCCCCTCCTTCCTTCTCTTTCTCCTCCTTCCATCCCTCACCCCACACAAAGACATTCATTGAAAAGGGTTTACTTCCTCACTGGAATAAACCTGTCCACTCAGCCTCAAGGCTGCTTCCAGAGATGTCTTCAAGTAACAAGGAGACTGTGACAGGTGCCAAAACAAAAACAATAAACAAAATACCACAGTCAGCGATTTCTCACTCCAAGTGCCAGTGAGGCTAAACTAAAAGAGGACAGTGATGTGACTTAAGCAAAAACGCTTTTTAATGGTTTCCTGGGAACAAATGTTAAAAAGGAACAAACAGAATTCCCATGAAGGTCAGTTCCTCCTTCCAGATTTTTGTGGCACAGAAACTAGTGATTTTCAAGTCCCTGTGTTAAATAAGTTTAGCCTAAAGCTGCCTCCTTCCGTATTTTAAGTCTGCCCTAAAGGTTTCTCTGTACTCCATGAACTGTCCTCTAAATTGGCTTGTAAATGGTCTGTAGACTACTCTTTGCCACTCACCATGTTTTAACCAATCAAAGGTGGCCAGCTGTTCAAACCACATTCAAATAAGGCAAACGGTGAGCTGGAACCAATCTGGCTGTTTCTGTGCCTCACTTCCATTTTCCATACACTGTTTATCTTTTTATTATATCTGTAAATTATCCTCTACCACATGGCTGCGGCACAGGAGGCCGCCTGACTCACAAATCATTTTTTTGCTTAGTCTTTTAAATTCAGTTTGGCTGAAGTTTTTCTTTTAGGCTGGGCGAGGTGGCTCAGGTCTAATCCCAGCACTTTGGGAGGCTGAAGCGGGCTGATCACCAGGTCAGGAGATCAAGACCATCTGGCTAACATGGTGAAACCCTGTCTTTACTAAAAATACAAAACGCAGCTGGGCGCAGTGGCCAGCGCCTGTAATCCCAGCTACTCAGGAGGCTGAGGAAACAGAATTGCTTGAGCCTGGGAGGCAGAGGTTGCAGTGAGCCGAGGTCACGCCACTGCCTTCCAGCCTGGGTGACAGAGCAAGACTGTGTCTCAAATAAAATAAAATGCTCTTATCTTTTCCAACTCTATATATGTGTAAGCCAAATATTTTAAATGTGTACTTTAACCGGCATAATATATGAGAACATACTTAATGCAGAAGCAGATGAGTTCAGCTGTATTAAACCAGGTATTAAAGAGCTTTGTTAAAAAAACAGTGCCATTCTTCTCACCAACACTTTTTTGTTTTAGAAAGAATTTCTAATTTGCATGCTAAAAATAGGTTACTTATGTTACCATGTAACATGCTTATTATTATTTTAAGTGAATTAAGCAATAAGTATTTTTAATATTTTTAGATAGCCCAGATTAAACCCCGGACTCCATCCCCAGTGGCCCTTGTCCCCTCCACAGAAACCTTGGTGCTAGAGTGGATTGATTGAGATGCTGGCCTTGATCTTTCTCCCCTGGCTGCATCCCAGCCCTTTGCTATGTGACTTTGTAGGTCCGCTGACTGCAGAGGTGGCTTTCTCTCTACCCCTGAGACTGGAATGACAGCAGATGTCATACCTGCAGGGGCTTCAAAACATATTTTGTTGTTTCTGCTTTTGTTTTTGCTCCTTTGCAATTTATTTGAAATGATGCCTGAGCTAGCCTGTTGGAAGTTGAAAGAGCCCTGTTGCCCTGTCCCTTCAGCCAACCCCACAGCACTTATACAATGCAGTCTGAGACCAGAGGAGCTGCCAGCCAAGCCCAGCCAAAATTGCCGACCTGCAGATTCATACACTGAATAAATGTTTATTATTATTTTGTGTTTTTTTAATGGAACATTTTCATGACACCGGAAAATAAAACAGATGAGGACTAAGCTGATATTTTTATCTTGCCCAAATTCCTATCTAAGGGGTTTGGGGAGTCATGCCCTACAAACCATAAATTCTCATCAGATGGGTTTTACTTAACTCTGTATATTGTATATATTTCCTTCCTTCTTTTCCAAATCCAGGAGATAATCAACTAAGAGCCAGGCACCCTTTTAAGTCCGTTGAGTAACATTTTATAACCTGCTCTCTCTGAAGTCTGCTCTCTGAGACACAGAAACATTCCAAGCCTGTGGTAAGTGAGCTCATCCTAAAACCCTTAAATATTCTCAGTCTGTAAGGGAGAGCTCTCCTGACCAAAATTGGTCAAAGCTTTTCTCAGCTTTATTCTTCAACATACACCTGTCTTTGATGGTTGAGCCACTTTTCATGTTTCTTTCCTCTTTTTTTAACTCTTACACTTGGTGCCAAAACCTGGGATGGGTGTTGTGGGTAGAGGCTCTCTTGCAACCCAGGAGGCAGTGGGCAGCAGCAGCTCATCCTGCTGGATCCTGAGTGTCTGGCCACTCACTACCCCATGTTGTCTCTCACTTCACTTTTCAAGCAATTTGCATGAGAAGGACAACTAACCTGAAGGGGACTGCAAGGCTTGGGCTGGGACTACTCCCCAGGAGGTTCTCAAAACCCTCAGGTCTCAGGAATCCATCTCCAACCACCCACAATGGGGAGTATTTTGCTCTCTAACCCTTGTCCCCTCCTCCTCCCTCATCCTCCCTTCTCTGTCTTCCTCGTGTGGCTCCCATCCAAAAGGCCCTTTGCCAATTCCAACGGAACATCCAACATCAGACATTAATCCAGCCAACTGGTAAGATCTGCCCTTCCCTGACCTTCTTGCAGTACCCAGGAAAGTCAGGTCTGACATCCCAGTTCTCGGAGGACCAATGGGACTAAGCTAGAAGAAATCTTGGGGACACCCAGTTTCTTCTCAGCTTGATCATCCTCTTCATGAAAAGGATTCTAGGTCTCTGTCTTTTGTCTGGAAATGCCTAGAACAAAACAGACACCCTTGGTTTTCTCTTACCAGTCCACATGAGTGCCAGAGGAGCTGGCAGTCCCAGATTCCTACTGGCCTGTCTCCTTCACAACCTCACCAAACTTGGCTTATGGGAAGCATAAAGCCAAAGTGTTTTTTTTTTTTTTTTTTTATTGCAACATGGTCTGGCCCCAACACAAATTAGATAATGACAAGCAATGGCCCACAAATGATGCCTTTGACTTTCAGATTCTCAGGGACCTTGATAACTTTATAACCAGGAATGGCAAATGGCGAGAGCTTCTTTATATTCAGGCTTTCTTCTACCTTAGATTCTGACCCTTCCTGTGCCAAGCTTGCACCCCATCATGAAATTCTTCTTATTAATGAAAACCCTCCCGGGTCTCTCCTTCCTCCAAAACTCCTTCCTTCTCAACCCCTTCCTCTGAAACCCCTTTTGACCCTACAGGTGAACCCTCTCCATATTCTCATCCCCCTGCATCCGTTGCTCACCTGGCCAAACCTTCAGCCCTGGTGGCCCCTCCTGCCCCCAAGCATTCTGCCCTAAACCCTGCTCCTCCTCCTTTTCCACTTGTTAGCCATTCAAAAACTACTCTAACCAGTCAAATCACCTCTGCCATTCTCCCTCTCCAGGAAGTGGCTGGGGTTGAAGGCATTGCTGGAGTTCTTGTCCCTTTCTCCATGTCTGACTTGTCACAAATCAAACAGCATCTGGATCTTTCTCTGAAGATCCATCTCATTGTCGTGGGGAATTCATACACATAACCCAGTCCTTTAATTTAACTTGGCATGATATTCATATAATTCTAGCCTCCACTCTCACCCCTGATAAAAAGCGCCCAGCTTAATTAAAATGGATATCCAAACTATGAGTATATTCAAAAGGCCTTTATGTTTTTCTATTCATAAATCTTGTTTTCCTGGAAAAGATTTTTCCCCCGTCGAATTAAATACTTTTTTTCACTCTTGCGACTCTTGGTGCATGCATGAAAGACCCTGAAATGACTTCCGGTGGCCCTGGACTCCTTGGAAAAACAGAAAAGCACCATAAATCCCATTTTGGGAGAAATCTCTGTCTTCGTCACGGAACCCCTGGAATTAGAGGTGAGTAAGTACTTATCAAAATCTGTCTTTGTCTTTCAACTATACTTGTTTATTAGGCCCTGGAAACTGTTTTCCTAGCCCTGTTCTTAAAAGGCCTCACCTAAAGGCCAATAATCCAGCTGGGAAATTAACAACGAAAAAAAATCTTACGACTACTGGATCTTCTTCTGGTCGTCTGTGTTGCTATATATGTGTTATATGTCCAGTGTCTATTTAAAAAGCTCTAATTAATTGGTCTAATTAAAATAAGCATTTAAATCAAATATTTTTAGGGGAAAAGTAAAAGCTGTGAAAACTTTCAGTTCATGTGACTTCAATCTTTAAAACTTACTGGTACAGTAAGATTAGAAATGTCTTAAGAGTTGCCAGCATATATTTTTGTTTGCATTTATTAATCAAGCAATTCCAGACTTGTCTCTGCCAAATACTATAAGATGTCAAAATTGGCATAGAGGCTACAAAACTGTAACTCAGCCCAAACACAGTAATCTTTGCTTGTTTAATTCTTTAATAAATGAAACAATATTGGTTTAATGAAGATAACTACATCTTGAACTATTTAGTAAAAGATCCTAACTTCTTTTTTGTTGTTGTTGCTTTCTTTTTTTTTCCCCCTTTTTTTGGTTTTTTTTTTAGACAGAGTCACACTCTGTCGCCTAGGCTGGAGTACAATGGCGTGATCTCAGCTCACTGCAACCTCTGCCTCTCTGCCTCCCGGGTTCAAGTGATTTTCCTGCCTCAGCCTCCTGAGTAGCTGGGACTACAGGCATGTGCCACCACACCCAGCAAAATATCCTAATTCCTAATATGTGGCCTTAGGCAGTCTAGTCCACAGACATGAAGGAAGTTTGTTCTGGGAAAGAACTGTTATCATCTTTGTTTCAAAGCTAAACTATAAGTTAATAAAAATAGAAAAGGCTTGGGAACATGTGAAAATAGCCATGACTCCTAGCTATGCAAAAGATATTAAGGAAAAAGAGTTCATATGAAAAGAATCTTAAATGGTAAATTCTTGTCCTAAAGTAAATTCACTCGTTTAAAGAAAGGGATGTTTACAACAAGTCAGAAAGTTGAAGCATGTCAGAGATTGTGAAAGTTGTAAAAAATTTTATAAAAGGGATTTGTGCAGGAAGTGTTGTACAATTTAAAAGTGATTAGACCTCATGAATGCTTTATAAAATGCCACTATAACTCGTAGCTGTACAACTTGCCTGCTTTGCAACTGGGTATGACCTAGGACATATGGAGTTAAATGCTGGAAGAAGCCAAACCTTATTTGCACTTCTGTCTAGGTCTTAGACTTTACACCTAGTACATAATTAAAATCCGAAACTTAGCAACAAAAGTAAAGGTTGCTAAAAGTTAACAGTGTAACATGTATTTAAGACTATTGAAAAAGCAGTTTACATATACTTTTGGTAAAAAGATTATAAGGAGGAATGAGAATGTGGTTTTTTACCTAGATCAAAAGGCTAAAGAATTGTTTTGAAGGTTTAAGAATTTAAAAGGAAATTCTGTTTGTAAACATATTGGCTAAAGTTGAAGGGGTATCATCTAGTTTTCTGTAAATTGAGCAAGAAAAGAAAAGCACAATGGATTTCTCTTAAAGCACTAACTTGCTCTTTAACAAACATTATAAAAAGTATGTAAAGGGTTAAAAAGGGTCTATAAAAACCTTACCTTATGGTTAAACATTAAAATTTGGTAAATGTATCTACAAGGTTTTATTAAAAAGTGAGTTTAACATTAATAGCCCACTAATATAAAGGTAAAATTTAGCTTATTTGGTATAAAATCATATAGGAAGCATTGTCAAATATAAAATGGTGTTTGGCATTCTTTGGGCTATATTTGTATAAATATGTTATTGGTATGTGTTCCAAAGTTATAGGAGGCTCCTATAATTCTGATGTATTTTAGTGTGCTTTATCAGTAATAATTGTAATTATTATATTAAAATTATTGTGTGCAACAAAAGTAACAGATATCCTTGACAATTGTGACTTTTAACTAACACTTCTTGTCATCCATAAATGATTGTTGTCTTGTTTCTGGTCCTCTAGAGACTAAAGTAATCTTTTTCATTTCTTTTTTTTAGTATTTTTAAGTTAGGGCAATATAGTTATTTGCATAAGTGCAATACGTATCTATTTTGTTTTGTAACAGGAAACAATTGGAAAAACTGGTTATTCTACTAAGGCTTTGACTGGAATGGTGTGCTCCCCTTTAAGAAATCTAACTTGACTTATGAAGCCAAGAAAGCCCTTGGAAACTGGCCTAATTTTTTGTGTACACAGTCCCCGTACAGGGTTTCTGGTCTGTGGTAAGTAAACAATATCACTTTCTGACAGGCCAGGAACCCCAAGTTATCTTAAAACCTCAAGGGGAGAGGAATTCACCCAACACATAGGTATTTAATGGTACAGGTCCATGGCTGGGCTCAGCTCTAAAAGATCTTATCTCAGATTCCTTCTATGGAACAAAGTTCCATCAATGTTAATTTAAAAGGCCTATGTAATACATAATTATTCTTGCTGCACTGTATGCAAATACTTAAACCAAGTATAAGAAAGCAAACCAGTCCTACCATGATTTGTCTTTTAATTAATGTTTACTAACAGAAAATAACACATGGGCCTTTCCAAACATGCACCTCTGCCTCTCACTAAGTTAAGGAATGTTGATTCTATCTCAACCAATCGGGCCTAGTAAGAAACACTGTTAAATAACTTGAGGGAAGGGCCAAAATCTATGGGAATACCAAAACAGTTAAATAAATTCTTGGTTTGGGAACAAAATCATAGCATGGGTCATCCCATTTGAGGGCCCTCTCCTAATGATATGCCTAGGACTAATGTTTTTACCCAGCCTATTTAATCTTTTTAAAAGATTTTTAACTGACAGGATCATGGCCATTTCACAGATAACTACCCAAAAACATCCACAGACAGCGTTACTCCTTCAGTCAATCTGAGACCAGAAAACTCTCCATCCTCCTATCAGCAGGAAGTAGCCAGAAAGAAAATGCCACCCCTTGTCCTTTTTGTAACCATAGGGTCTGGATTAACAGAGCAGGAGCATCTCTGTCTTGGACAAGCACCACCATTTTAAAGTTCCCCTTGATCAACCATCTAATTCCAACCCAAAGGCCATCATCCTAATGCTTAATGCCAGCATGCCCATGTACCACAAATGACATCTCCGACCAGAAACATTCCAACTCTAAGATAAACCCCTCCCCGACCAGAGACATGCCAGCCCTGAGATAACCTCCCCTCTGGCCAGAGAGATGTCAGTCCCAAGGTAACCACCTCTCTGACCAGAGATATTCCAACCCTGCAATAAACTTCTCCACACAGAAACATTCCAAGCCTGTGATAAACTCTCACCCTAAAACCCTTAAGTGCTTTTAGTCTGTAAGAGAGAGTGCTCCTGACTGAAATTGGCAAAAGCCCCTCTAAAGTTTATTCTCCAGAATAAACCTGTCTTTGACTGTTCAGCCACTTTGTGTGTTTCTTTCCTCTTTCTTTAACTCTTACACCCTGGTCACTCATATTTGGCTCAGAATAAATCTCTGAAAATATTTTACAGAGTTTGACTCTTTTTATCAACACAGAAAAGACCCAAAAAGACTGAAAGAAGCAGAACCCCAGAAGCCACCCTACAATCAAACACAAGGGACACAGATGAGAATGGACAATAAGCTTTTATTGTGTCATTGCACTGGAAGGTTGGAGACTGCGTACTGCTACAGCAGAGTGGATTCTATTCTAACCAATACACAAAGAAAGAGATCACAGACCCCCCTGCCTGAGCAGAAGGGAGGTGGTAGATGAAATGAACTGTAGGAACAGCCACTAGCCTCCCAATCAAGGTGAGGTAGGACTGACCAGTCTCCCAGAAGCCCATGCCCTGGTAGAGGGCCAGGGCAGAGAACTACAATGTATTCATGCCAAGGACAACTTTACTGTAGCCCTGGTCCCAGGCAAACTGGAGGACAGTCCTGACCAGGGCTTTTTCTGTCCCCTGATGATGGTGCGCAATATCTACGAAGAGGTGACGAAGCTGCAACTGTTTCTCCCTCAAGGTGGGATCATCAATGGGCAGAGCTCCCACCATGCCCAACACTTTATCTTCAAACTCAGCCACCCAGAAGCAAGAGCCACGCTCACTCAGGTAGGATTTGGTATGTCAGACATGTCTGTGCGCAGTGTCCTGTCTTCATACTTCCTCCAGGGATGTTTGGCAAAGAACCACAGGGCACAGAGGAGGCTGAGGCTGAGGCTGAACACCATGAGGAGCCAAGAGCCAGAGAGCAGGAGTTGTGTGAGCGGCCCCCCGGGTAAGAGCACAAGTGCTTGGGGCAGCTTCAGCAATTGGAGGAAGGTGGTCAAGGTGTGTTCATTCACCCCTGTGGAGAAGAAACCCATGACACACTTGTGGTAGCTCTCTCGGTATTTGCGGATGTGATAAGGAGCCGTGGACGTACTTCTATTTCTGAAATCTCAAAAGTCCAGAAAAGAGAGCTAGACTCCCTGCACACCTTTATAGCAGTCCTGAGGAAGAGAGAGGAAACCAGGTGAATGCCTGCATGGCTTCCAGCCTTCCAAGCACGGGAGACTGCTAAAGGGTATGTCTTTCTGCTTTTGCCCACGAGGAAGCAGGCCTCTGCCACTGGGAGAAGGTAGGGTCAGAAAGACCTGCACTGGAATCTGGTTTCATCCCCTTTTAGCTGTGTGACCTTGGGCATGTTGCTTAACCGCTCTGAGCCTCTGTTTCTTCATCTATAAAAACTTGATAGATGAACTACTCACCCCTCCTCCCTCTTTTCCCCTTTCCTGGATCTCTCAGGTTCTTGGTGCATTGAGGAGGCACCTACTGCAGGCAGGCCACATATCCAACCCCTTTGTTCTTTCTCCAAGGACCATACATTGCAGAAAACCTGTATCCAAACATGAGTTTCAGGAAAGACACCTTCTCCCTTGATAACAAATGTTTAGGTTGCTGAGAAGAGCATAAGGGCCAAGCACAAAAAACAGCCCAACCTCCAGATCCCAAGGAAGGTGCAGGCTGAGAGCCCTGTTCTTGCACCCATGTCCCCTCACCTGTCACCACAAGAGACTTGAGTGTCCAGAGAGCCTCAGCTCTCAGCCATTCACTGGCATCCAGAAGATAGTGTCCAGGGCCCAACCACCCCTGGAAAGCAAGCTAGCTGCCCCCTCATTGGTTGGCTCCTGAATTTTTGGTAATCATAAACCCTGGGATCAAATTGCTGGGCTGTAACACAGCAGGGAGTGCATTCCCAAGTGCATTCCTCTATGTGGTTGCAGGGAATGAGCCCGGGGCAGGAGAGCCCGGCAGGCTGAGGGTCTGCAGTGTGCCAGGCCTGGGCTTGGCATGAAGGCACCAGATGTCAGAGGTGTGGCTGCCACCCAGGAGGACACCCCTGATGGGGCTCCGGGAACAGGACAATGGTGGAGATGTCACATCCAGAATAACTGTTAGGAGGGTGAACTTGACAGGAGTTTTACATCGCAGGAATCAAAAAGGCACCTAAAATTACCTTAAGTAATAGAGGCGCAGGAAACCACCAACTCTAGGAAGACAGACAGGGTGGCCTGAAAGTGGGTTTGACCTGGTGTTTTACTGCTATTCCATGCATGGTGTCAGCTTTCTCACGAGACTGGCACCGTATAGGACTTAGGTGTTTGCCAGCCCAGTTGACACTGTCTGCTTCATTGCTCACCACCAGCAGAAAGGTGAGGGCTATGCCCCGCAGTCCAGGGACAGAGAAGGTTTACATGGGGACTCAGTCACACTCTCTAGGAACTAGATGTACATTTCATAGCAGGAGCCAGGTTATACTAAAGGACGCCTGGCCCGAGGATATCAGCACCCCATAGAGATGGAGAACCCTAGGGAGCTCAGGGACTGGGGCTGAGTGACAGCGAGCACTGCCCACAGAGGGGGCGCCCTTGAGTCAGGAGGGGTGGGAAACAGGTGCAGATCAGCAGCTGAAAGAGACCCACCCAGGTGAGCACAGGTGAAACTGATGGTGGACAGAGAGGAAGAGTGTGCTGGTTGGTAGGGGAAGGCGGGGCCTGTAGCCAGTTTGGGAATTCCCAAGTTGAGCAAAGGGTGTGCCAAGTCCTCTGGCTGGGCTTGTTAACAAAAGCACCTAACTCTTAAATTATCTGTAAGAGGTATCTTCTGAGCCAATTAATGGCCATGGCCTCAGGAAGTCTCAAGGGGTCTTGAAAAAGTTTGCCCGGGACAGTCGTTTTACACATTTGAGGGGACAGGAATTGGAGTAACATCATAAATCAACCATGGAAAGTGTACATTGATTCAACCTAACAAGGTTGGTTATCTTCAAGTAGGGTGGGGGAAGGTCATTATAGGTCACAAGTGGATACGAAGATTTTCTGATTGGCAGTTGGTTGAAAGAGTTCAGCTTTGTCTAAAGACATAAAGTCAGTACAGATGAATGCTTCAGTTGAGAGAGAGAGGGTTTGCCTCTGTCCTGTGATGCTGTCCCAGAGTCAGAGAGGTAAGTCAGCCACAGTATCCTGAGTCAATTTAAAACCCATTGAAGGAGACTCTGGTTTCTAGGTTGTGTGTTAATTCTGGCCTTGCATGGTCTCAGGTGTTGTTCTTAATCTGTACCTGATGGTCACAGAGTCTGTTCTGAATAATCTAATGATACCTATTTTAACATTCATGCTGGTCGGTTTTGGGCCCTATACTCCAAAGTACAGGCTCTCAGGAGGCTTCTCTGACCTCCCCTTCCATCATGGCCAGGAATTCATTTTTTCAGGTTTCCCTGGGATCCCCTTGACTAAGAGGGGGTCTGTTCCATTGGCTGGGGTCTCAGGATTGCAGGACTTTAGAAAGCCTCACATCATGGTGCAGGGTGCATGGCCAGATTTTCCTGAACCCTGAACTCCATGGCTCATGGGATAAGGGAGCCGTGGGCCACCTGGATTCTGCTGAGATTCTTTCCCCACGTGCAGGTGCGGGTTTGGCCTTGGCCCTTTCTGTTCCTTTCAGAAGCCCACAGAGGTGAGGACAGGACGCTTTGGGGTCAGGGACAGAGGCTCCTGTCACTGAGATTTTGTTGTACTCCTGGGAAGAGACTATTGTTGCAGTTCATCTGCCTCTCTGCAGTGCTGATGTGTAGCCCCAGCAATTCCAGTCCACTCTTGACAGCCAGCCTTGAACACAGAACTGATCAGCCACATGGAAAACCTGAAACAAAGCCTCTAAAATGCAGCATCTCAAAAATGCTCACCAGGGCTGGGTGCGGTTGCTCATGCCTGTAATCCCAGTGGGTGGATCTCCTGAGGTCAGGAATTCAAGGCCAGCCTGGCCGACATAGTGAAACCCTGTCTCTACTAAAAATATAAAAATTTGTGAGGTGTGGTGGCATACACCTGTAGTCCCAGCCTCTCAGGAGGCTGAGGCAGGATAATTGTTTAAACCCAGGAGGCAGAGGTTGCAGTTAGCCAAGTTAGCACCACTGCACTCCAGCCTGGGAAACAGAGTGATACTCTGTCTCAAAAACAAAAAAAAATGCACACCAGAGTTTTCTTAATCAGACTTGGCATAGCCAGTGAGCTGCTGCCGCCTGCCGTGACATGGGTGCTGTTTTTCCCACTAAGCCCAGACCTCTGCCTCGGGAGACAGGGCTCAGCTGCAGCTCCCTCAGCTAACTGTGAAGGGCTGTGTGGGTACCTCAGGGGCTCCTTAAACCCGCAGTGGTGTGCAAATTTGTGGGCTCACTTTCTGCATCAGATCTCCAAAGGTGTCTGCGATCCCAAAAGGTTGGAAACTATTAAATTTGATCATTTCTGAAATGTAATTAGCAAATGCAGGTGGTCAGGTAAATTGCGGTTGAATCTCGAATGAAATGGGTGTGACCAAAGGTGCTGTGCAGTCCCCTGACTAAGCATGGCTTTTCTTGAGAAAGTGTGCAGTGTGCAATGGGTTGGGCCCACTGGCTAGTTTAGCAATGAGATTTCTGTCTTTGCAGCGCCTTAGTGGATCATTGCCTGTGATGTGCATCTCACTCTGGGTTAATGCCTATTCAGTGATGAAACTGTTTTCTTCCTCTTCTACCTCTGCAGAGGCTTGCTGGGACTGATTGTAATTCTATTTCCCCATTGCCAGTGGACAGACTTAGAGGGTCAGGAAGCTGGGAAGGAATTTAGAACCCACGCTTAGGCCTTCCACACCCTTCAGGTACCATCAGCGGCAGAACTAAGGAATTCATTGTCTTTCATTGCTGACACTCCTGGGTGAGTGCAAGTGGCAGTTAGACTCTCCCCATCCCACCTTGTACCTGCTTCCACTACAGGGGACCCCAAGAGGCCTATCCCTGCTTGCTCAGTGCACCCCTGAAAAAGGGAGACTGGGAGATGAGGATCCTGTCGCGGGGACAGGTGTTGGTCAAGGTGAATGTGAACCTGGAGGAAACAGATGGAGCCCTCCTGTGATAACCCGACAGGGTCAGGGATACGGTGGGAGTGCTCAGGAAGCCATGGCTCCCGGCTGGGGCCACAGACCTGCCTCAGCAGCTGGAGTCTGACTTCTTGGGGTTGCGTTCTGACTCCCCCTCCCACACAGGCTCTTTGCCCTGTAGAGGACAAGGGGCAATGGCAGTAAGGGTAAGGTCGGTGGGGGTTCCTGGGGAGCAGGGGCACCAATCCTGCTGTGGCCCTGGCTGCCCCCTTGCCTAGGCTCCATGTACACCCTCAGAGCTCCCCTGGCACAACTTTTCTTCTTTCCATGAGGAACACCCTCACTTCCACTTGGGCCTCTGCCAGGAAGAAGGGTGGGAGCTCTGCTGAAGTGTCCCTGTGAGTGACCACCTGCAGTGAGCTCCTCTGCACAGGAGCTGCCCCTGGGCCTTGTGTGTAAAATGGGGGTAATAACAGTATCTACCTCATAAGGTTGCTGTGAGAATTAAATGAGTTCCTACAAGTGAAAAACACTTAGAACTAGGATCCAGAGGCTTGCAAGGGGTGAGCTGGAGTAGCCATGGTAAGTAAGGAGAGGGAGGTGAACTGATGGGTATAAAATCACCAAGGCAAAAAACTTAAAAACAATAACCAGTTGGGCTTGGTGGCTCATGCCTGTAATCCCAGCACTTTGGGGGGTGCAGCAGAAGCATCACTGGAGTCCAGGAGTTTGAGACCAGTCTGGGCAACATAGTGAGACCTCATCTCTATAAAAAAAAATCACTAAGGCAAGAACCTAGTATACTGTAGGCATTCCACAAGTGTTTGGAATTTTTATTCCAATTATATAAAAATAAAATACATTTGAACAGAAATAGAACCGTAGAAGATAATAACAAATAATAGTAACTGATTATCTTTTAAAATAATATGAGGTAGCACTAGAAGTGTTTTTCTTTTTTATACTATTCTGTGATTTAAACTTTTCTATAATGAACATATATTAGTTTTATAATCAGGAAAGGAATATCAATGTTTTCTTTAATGCTGAGAATTTCTGTTAATATTTTTGACATTTCACAAAACATCTTTTGTTGACATTCTACAAATGATACCATCCAATACTGTCCCAATACTTTCTTCTTGTGAAGAGAGTTTATATATCTGTAAAAATGAAAGATACATTATGACTTGCTGATAAAGTCATTCACTACTAATTGTCATTATATAAACTTGTGTAAATGAAATTATTCCTCATTCAATTATTGAGTTCATGGAATAACAAACAACAAATGTGATTAAAATATTCAAAGTAGATGGAAATTTATTACTTGTCTTCCTTTTAAACTGCTGCTATGGAGGCAACTTCCAAGAACATAAAAACCAAATTTCTATCCATTTTAACAGCACATATATAAATATTAACTTCATACTAAATTTATTTTACATGTTAAATATAATATGTAAGTCTGATATTTAAAGGAATTCACTTCCTTAGTGTGGAGAATGCTTATGTCAGCTTAGTTTGTAATTCAGCTTAGTTTGTAATTATATTCTACATAAGCCCACACCTCCCAGTTCATTGTATTATAATTATTTTTTAAGTAATTTAAAAAATTAACTTTCTCAAAAGTTCAAAAAATAAATAAATAAATAAGGAGCCCTAGTGATCAATAGGCAGACAGCATCAGCATTACTGCTCATCTATCACACTCCTTATAAAAACATGGACTGGCAAACCTTTTTGACGTCTGTAATATTTGTTATTTCAGGAAGATTTTCCAGAGAAACCTGATGACCTTCTACTTGAGATATTAGGTATTCTTGATTTATTTTTCTCCCTCTTCAATGTAAACAATTAGAATTGAAGTGTCTTTTGCTGAGATACCAAATTTTTTCAAAGCCTCTGAAACCTAAGAGAAAAAAATGAAAAAACAAAAAACAAAGCAATTAACCATTGTTTCCTATGTCTGAAACATTTCCTCATCTGCCTTCTTCCTTGCTCAGGCTCTTACTTTTCATGTCCTAACAGTTCTCACTGCTTAGGTTTTCACTTCGATTCCTTTCCAACATCCATTGGTACTTCCTTGAAAGCACTCCCTGCTTAAGGTACACCTTGTTCCTATGGAATCAAGCCCAACCTTCTTTGCACTGCACGAAACTACCACCTCCCTCTGGCGCCAAGTGGCCCTCCAGCCAGGCGCCTCTGCCTTCTGGCCAGTCTGGCCTTCCTGGGGTTCCAGTCATATTTCATGCCTTTCTGCCTGTGGCCAAGCTTTGTCCTCTGCTCGCATGTCCCATCTCCCCATGACTTCGCTGCTGAACACGTGTCTCAAGCTCCACAGTTCCAATGCCACTCCCCACTATACCCTCCTTCCTCTGAAATGAATGGCTTCATTGCTGTACCCCTAGATTTGAATTCATTTCCCATTATATCATTTATCTTAGGGCATTTTTAACTTGTTTTGTTTATTTCTTTCTTGTGCCCCTAGAGCTATAAATGGAACAGGGAAAAGTTCAATAGATATTTACCGAATTCAAGAGTTTCCTGAATTATGTCCAGTGATCTTAAGGAAACAGTAATTAGTAAATCTTATTCCAGGTACTGGGCAACTCTATTACCGGGCTGAGATAACTGCATTTTATCAACTTTTCAATCATCTGTATTTTAACTTATGCCATAGTTTCCTAACTTTTCTCTAGATGACATTAGTACCTGGTTATTAATAGCTGCAGTAACACTCAAACCTCATCAGCAAAATTTCAGTTTTTTTTTTCATGTGCTATATGTGGGATATCTTTAGTTCCATAACCTGCATTGAAAAGCATGACTCTTAAGCATTTCAAAGCACAAACTCTTCCTATGCACTGGGTGTGTCAGTGAGGATGTGTTAAAGACTGCTGTAGGTACCAGCCAGTTCCTGGTATATGAAAAGGATGTGGATCCCACACTCAAGTTTATGGGAAGAGGAAAAGATATGCATGCCAGCACACAAAATATCCACGCCTAATGTTTTATCATTAAATTTATCAGCTTCTTAAGCAAAAATACTTGGGGGGGTCTTTCTGACCCTATATGGTAAGAACAGATAATATTCACGTCACTTAACTTAGCTACATTTTTGTTTACTCACATGTAAACTGTCTTAGTAAGAGGCAGGGTTAAACCTCAACTCTCTGTCCAGAGCTCTCTTCACTATTATTCTGGTTTATTATTAACCACTGGCTTGCAGGAATTTAGCCTCCAACCCAACACTGGGGAACACGTATGTTATTATGACAAGGTCAACAGAAATAGGAAAGTCCACATTACATTGTTATTTGGGGAAAGGTTGTAAATAATTCAGTAGATAGAGTTCTTGTCTTCATTTTTCCCAGTTTGTAGAGGTGAACTGCTTTGTTTGCTGCCACAAGTATCTGAAATGGATCAACAATCTACCAAACAGAGCAAAAAGAATTAATTACACATGGAGAATCTGTACTGCCTGGAAACACAGGCATTTCCCATCTTAGAGCCAGATCACAACCATTTCTGTTTCCTAGGGCAGGACCCAGCACTTCTGCCTCTATTTACTGTTATTGTCAAGGCTGGCTTCATCTGACTTGGACAAAAATTTTTTTCCCCAAAAGGTGACAGAATTTTAGGCTACCCTATAACATGACAAAAATTAATATATACTTAAATGCCCTGTATGGCGTGTTTTATTTTATTTTTTTTGAGAGAGAGTTTCGTTCTTGTCACCCTGACTGGAGTGCAATGGTGCAATCGAAGCTCACTGCAACCTCTGCCTCCCAGGTTCAAGTGATTCTCCTGCCTCAGCCTCCCAAAGAAGCTGGGATTACAGGCACCTGGCACCACGCTCAGCTAATTTTTTTATATTGTTAGTTGAGACAGGGTTTCACTATGTTGGCCAGGCTGGTCTTGAACTCCTGACCTCAGGTGATCCACCCACTTTGGCCTCCCAAAGTGCTGGGATTATGGTGTGAGCCACTGCACCTGGCCAATCCATTCAGTCTTAAAATTTATATTTACCACTGTAGGATTTATCAGTGATCCATCGATGGTCCCTTCCATGGCTTTTCTTCTCAAGTCTCCTGCATTTTTTACATCTTTAAGTAACAGAAGGGTCACCCTGCATTCAGGAAACAGGTCCAGCTGACATGTTAACTGCATTTCACAGATAAGCAGGATTCTACTGCACACAAGATGAAAAAACCAAGAGGTATCTTTTGTTTAAAAGTTAACATTAGGGCCGGGCGCGGTGGCTCAAGCCTGTAATCCCAGCACTTTGGGAGGCCGAGGCGGGTGGATCACGAGGTCAAGAGATCGAGACCATACTGATCAACATGGTGAAACCCCGTCTCTACTAAAAAAATACAAAAAATTAGCTGGGCATGGTGGCACGTGCCTGTAATCCCAGC